TGGGTTAGTTGGTCCTTGTTTCTTTATAAAAAGAGAGGGAAAAATTTGAAATGAGATATTAGAGTGCAATGACAACATGAGAAGATTACAGTAGAAGCCAAATATTTTTGCATGTTGGCTCAAAAAAAAAAAAAATCCCTGTTTTTAAACAAACAGTAGCCATCAAATAGATGCAAATATTTCAAACTACCATATTAGCTATACACTATTTCCTTTTTCATTTAACTTTAGTTCTGTTTTAATTTGGGACACAATTAATACACCCATAGTTTGTCCAAAAAGGTTAAAAGAAACCACCCAGAAGGCAAACAGCAGCATTACGGGTTTTTAATACTATTAAAATATAATCTTTTAGAGACAAGTTTTAACAAATAAACATTTTAATTTACAGGAACACACACAGAATGATACTCATGTTTACAATATTGCAGGATCCACAGTAAAAGCTCCCTTACTTTTCAAATTTTTAATCTTAACATTCCCTCTTTTTAGTGAAGTAGGATTTTTCTTCCTTCTTTGATTTCCTGTGAGTACACGAACTGTTACACTTTTAGCCATACGGTTACCCTAGCTCCCATACAGAACTCATTCAAGAGCACACCAAGTGTGTAAAAGCAACACCACAAAAGGTTAATTAAAAAAAACAAACCTGCAAATAACAAAACCTCATCACATGACTCCTTTACAGAGCTTTATTAGCTAAAGGATTCCTTCTTTTTCTTTTCTGTTCTTTGTTTTTTTTTGTCTAAAGCAGATAACAAGAACGTTAACATAAGCCTAAGTCATATTGGTGTACTACTCGTGTTATCTGTTTTTTGGTGGAAAACTTTTTGACACAGATGAACATCCTGCTGACAAACTATTTCTGATATAATTTCTGAAGAGCCAGAAAAAGCAGCTGTGGCACTACAAAGCAGCCAGACAGCATGCACTTCTCAACTCTAACCTCAGGCCAGGGAGCCTTCTCGATCAACACCCCATGGCTTTCAGACTGGTGCACGTGACCCAGCATACCACACACTGAGCAACTAAAAAACTGTTCCAAAAGTAGCTTAAAAAGCAACCATTCACTTACTGTGTTATAAAGCTCTTCCAGCCTGGGAATTGTAAGAAATTTGTGCATGCTTACTCCATTTTCAATCAGAAGTTTCACAAATGCAACTCTATCCATCACAAGGGCATCTAACATAGCCTGTTCCAGAGAGCCAACCTGCAACAAGTAAGTAACAAGGTTGAGCCTGGAGAGAACCAGTAAAAGAAGGCATCACAAAAGTAAGTGTACTTGGATTGTGTATCAACCTCATTCATTTCCAGGGCTGGGGAAACCCTACGTGTCTACAAATAGAACAATGTCACCCTTGGTTCAGAAAATCCCCTGAACTTCACACAATTACAGGTTCAAGAGAATATTCTGAAGACTTAACCAGCAAGTCTTATACTCTTCCATAGATATCTCCTACTGACACAGTACACAGGACTCCATAGACATTTGGTTTAACATAGTTAAACTGTCCTTACAGATTGATATTGGATAAAATACAAAACCAGAAAACACATAAAGCACAATTTGCTTCAAAGACAAATGCTCAGAACCATCATTGCTATCAACAAGCCTTACAGTATGTACTTTTGACTGAACACTCACATAAGATTGTGTTTTACTTTTCTAGTAATATGGGAAAAGGGCAAGATCCACAGTGTAGTTTTCAAATTAATTTGCTGACTACAAGAAACAGACATTTTGTCCCCCCCCTCAAAAGCCACTGAAGTGCTGCCAACAGCGCATTTTACTAGATGCTTCTTAGGAACTTCCCATGACCATGCAACTGTAAGGAAGAAACAGCATCTGACTAACATGAATTCAGCTCCCACCTTCTGCAATGTTTTTTCTCGCCTAGTTACTCAGAACACTTAGCACATTTCTAAAATTTTTTGACCATTTTCAACTGCACAATAAAAAAACCAGCTGTAAGACTACGCAGTATTCTCAAAATAAATGTGTCAATATTCTAGACTCTCTCTCTACAGAAGTCAAAAGATTCATTCTTTACAGTAAGCTGAGTTTCCCTGTTTTAGCAAAAAACATTCTGCTTAATCCAGACCATTACATACCAGCCATTGTTGCCCATAGACAAAAACGTGATTTTTGGCTATGTCGACTCTATCCCACGCAAGTGTAAGAACAAGCTGGTCAAATGCAGATGCATTCGTGCCTTAAAAAGCAAAAACAATGAAAAAAATTAATTAAAACATAAGATAATAAACATTCAAAACCTGCTTCCTAAAAGGGCCAAACCAAGTAATCCAACACAAAGTTATCCAGTAAATTTCGTAATTTATGACACATTATGGTATTATTCAATGAGAAAACATGGTACATAATTAGTTGCTTAAAAACTAAAGACTTCTACAGATTATGGTATTTTATAAATAATCCATCATATAAACACTAAACAACAATAGCTGGGGATTCCAAATGCCCTTAAAAGTCTCACCTTTTAACAATGCTGTAAGTATTGCAACATCAATGTCCTGATGCTCATCTGACCCAATATGAAAAACTGTAATCTGTCCAGAAGGATAAAATAGGGAAAACATATTTTAAAGTTATTTTCAGGCATAGGTGATTCGCTCTAGTCTTTTATGTCAGGAAACGAAATACACTAAAAAGTCACCTTATCTTCAATGCAATTTAAGCCTAAGCTCAATTTCAACTTACCTTCAGTGTGCACTCTGTTTCGTTTTCCTAACTGGGTGCCACACAAGACAATCATTTATGAGAAAAAGCACAGCAGAAACCCTTTCCAATCAATTTGCACTTCCTTTCCACTATGACTACAATTCTCTATTGTCTATAAACATCACACAGGATTCTGTTTACCCCTCCAATTCATTCTAGATTACAAAATTAACCTGCCAGCAAACACGTTTAGCCAAATATGACCACTTTAAACCTCAGAACAGCACAATATGATGTCCAAGTGAGACACCAGTACCTGAATTCAGGCTACATATAAAGCTCTATAAAGTGCTTTTGCTTTATGCATGCAGCGATGGTAGACCTTTCTTAGCATGTCCATAACTAAAAGACCAAAAAACAAAAGCAAAACAAGTCCCAAGGTTTTCAAAAATCAAAGCAAGAGAATACGACAGCAACCCAAATACTAAATACATATATACTATAAACAAGCAAGAATCCTGTCAACTGAAAACAACTCTGCTTAGAAACAAAAACAAACTCGGATTACCAGAAATAATCACAAGAATTAAGTTTCTCTTGTCTATGAGATAAAGTATACACAAAACTTGTATTTGACTATCTTCTGTAACTGCAAAATCCACCATGTCCAGAAAAGATTTTTGAATGACTCCTGATCATATACAGCATTGAGATACAATTTAATATTATATCCACGAGTGCATGCACCTTGCATAAAAAATTCTTATGCCAAGATCTACTTACAAGTTCTTTTTTCTTCATGCATTCCATCAGCGTCTGAAACAAATGAACTGCTTCACTTTGACCAAAGTTAAATGTCTTTTTGATGGTTGAAATTATTTCAGGCTCAGCACCCTCAGGAACATTCCTGAGATTGAAACAAACAAACAGGAAAACACATTGTTATACCTGAACAGTAAGAACAACACCACATTTAATTAGTTTCAACTTGTCCATTCAAAGTCCTGCCATCTATAAGCTTATTACTGTTACAGTGGCAAAATCCTGGGTAGCCTTCAGAAAGGAGTATAGATTGCTTAATCTACGACTTTCTACTACTGCCTCCTAAAAGTAACTCGGCTTCTCTCCCTTTCCTTCGCATATCCAGTTCTGAGATACACTCAACTATAAGATTTTGACATAAAATACCAAGTACTCACCCCTCTGAGTATGACCTGCTTCTGATTTTACTATGGACAAAGCTGTGTGGTTTACTGCTACATTAGACCCTTGCCTCCTGGTTCTGAGGCAGTCCCGGCAACAAGGACCCAATATGTTTAAGGACTTATGCAAGTCTGACAGATAACTAGAAATGACTAAGTATTGTGGAGCTCAAGCACATCCCTTTTATTATTTGAAACTACACTTAAAACAACAGACAAGCATTTTCTACACTAAACAGAAGTGTGTAAAAAGTTCAATTTTAAGACTACTAAGAAGAAACAATACAGAAACTCTTCCTGATTCTTTTTCAGAAAAGTCACTACTATGCAACAGCTAACTGCATGAAAATATTTCCATTTAATATAGTCAAGAGATATTTTCAAACAGTTTGGTAACATACTATTCTCTACATTATTCTCACATCTCTGGAAGGTCTGGTCAGCTCTGACTTCTGTTGAGCAAAACTCTTTTGCACACACTTAGGAACAGTCACCTTTATCACTAAAGCTACTGTGGCTTAGTTAAAATTTCAAGCTGAAGCAGACAGAGCACTTAAACTGAGAGTTGGGTTCTCTACTTACAACGGTGTAACAAAATTACTGTACATAGCTGAAGTTACACGAGATGTTTCCTCTAATTTAGGATATAGGTGTGTACACTTTTCCTATCCTTTTTCTAAGTTTATTGCTAAAGCAAGCATATGCTACAAAATTTGATGCAACTGGTACAAAGTATGTGGGCGGAACCTAGAACTAGAAAAGAAGTCTTGGGCTTTAGCCAGAGCTATTACTGCAGCCAGCCTGGAAAGCTGCATCACAGGCAATATTACACTCTCTGCCTTCAGCCGTTGTGTTTCTACAGAAAAAGCTCTTGCACAAATTCATTAAGGAATGCTCTCAAACCCCATCTACGTACAACTGCTGGTTTGACTAGCAGTGCTAGGACTTACCCTCCCTCCTCTGTTTGCTTGTGAACATATGCCAATATGTCTGCAGCTCTACCAGTTCCTTCACATACTACCACCGGCACAGGAGGACTTTCTTGAAGGAAGTCTAAAACTGTGAGTATGACATTGGGGCCACCTTCAAATACAAGTGCCACCACAGGCACACCTTGGCCAATTCCTATAAAGTTGCAAATAAATAATAAAAAACAGTGTTGTAAGTGTACAGGGAACGCTAAGGTAGATTTTACATATTTAGTAAATCAAGTATATCCCTCCTATTGAATAAAAATTAAAATCATGCCTGCCAGACATTTTAACTGTTGTGAATGCAGTTTCAAGAACTGTTTATCCATTGGGCTGGGGGAAGCACTGCAAAGAACCTGATAAATACCACAGAATACAGTCTCCAAAACAGAAGAGACTCCTCACAGAAATATTCCTGAACTAATGCAGAAAAGTGAACACTTTTTCTTTGGGGAACTCCCCTTCTATCTTCCCTCCAAATAGTTTCCAAAGATGACAACATGCATATAATTTGAACATAGTTACATGGAAACCCTCTACTGACAGGGAGTATTGCAAAAACATTCCTAGAAGAGGGGGGGAAAAAAAAAACCCACACGTGTTGCTCCATAATTGGGAAAACACCAGAAGCAGTCATGGTTTCTTTACACAAACACAAATAGATGTTTTATAAACTCAGTTGCCCTACTGTGAAACTGCAAGTCATCGGTATCAAAAACATGGATCAATCAGACCAGTATGGTCTGACAACATACTAACAACTCAAGTGACATACATTTGCTTTATCAAAGCAAAATTGACAGCTTTATTCAAAAGAACTTTCCACTCTAGTCCCAGAGAAATCCTAAATATAACAGCAACATCTAGGGTCCAAAGCAGCAGTTGAAACTTGCAAAATAATAATTTAGACTTGAAACAAACAAAAGACTAATGTTTCTATTTTCTCACTCGGATGTTTGGTGCAAGTACCTTTTCCACTAAAACACAGTAATGCTCAGCCCTCAGGCACCACAATTACTTACTTGCATGGATCCGTTGCAAATTAATAGTTTTTTCCAGTTCTCTCCGCAGTTTAACTTCTGCTCCATACTTTCCAACTGTTCCATCATCCACCAGAATGAAATGGGAATGGAGGTTATTTAGGACGTTTAGTTTACTTAATGGGTTTAACAAGGTTTGATATGGAGCAACTACCTAAGTATAAGGACACAACAACGTCTTTTACTTATAAAGATTCAAATTTGTTTCCACAGAACTTAACTTTTTGTCTAGACACAAGAACTGACGGCTCAATGAGAAAGACTGACACATAAGTATGCCTTGGGTCAGGATACATTGACAGCTGTAGCTCTCAACTTTCTGGAGGAAAGCAGATCACTATATCCCAAAAGAATGCTGTTCTGAAAGATAATAGAGAAAAGATCCTTTGAAAAGGTGTCTTTGGATAAAACTTGTGACTGCTCTGGCAAACAGTAGCATCGAAGACTCCGCATCAAAATTTTTCAACTTAGCATCCTCTGTAAATGTGAATTCTCTATAATACTTCAGCTTTTTTGTTATTTGATTCAGCAATATTGGGGCTGGGGGGAGTGGGGAATTATTAAGAACTTGAGAACAAGCTCCTCCTCTAGCACATTTGCATTTTGCAACTTTCTACACTAATGATCCTCTGTAAGTCACAGATGTCAATGTATCTTCACAGTAAAGCAAGTATTCCAGTGATGCAAAGCAAGCGAAAAAAACATGCTTGAGCAGATTTATCAAAAAGTCAGTCACATAAATAATTATTTCAGTTAGGTAATTTATCCTTACATCTCTTCCAACAAGGTCATTTCTGTTTTCAATCACACCCCATGGAGCAATCCCAATAGTGCAAATCTTTCGAGATGATCTGGAAGCATGTTCTCGTAGAGCATCACCAACATGTTTTGCAACACCTGTCCGTGCACAAAAAGATTTCAATGTATTGTATGCCACATCTTATTAAGAAATACAACTGTTTTATTAATTAGTTAACTGGGCTTTTAAAAGACCTGGGAACTCACAACACCAAAGAAAAAGCACCACACTACATCTCCTAGAATGAAACAAAGTACTATGTACCAGTAATTCAACAAAATAAATACTAGCCTAGTAAGAACTAAAGAGTTTCCAGTACATTATCGTACTTGTTGTAATTGCATTGTCTTTCCTCTTGTGGTTTCAAAAATAAAAACAAAAAAACCCCCCAAAATCTAACCAAACAAAGCCCAAAAAAACCAAGAACATTTGTGTTGTTCCTCTTTGCAAGACAAAAGAGCACCCACTTCCAACAACACATGTTCAAAACGTATTATTTTAATTTCACTTGACCAAACTCACTCAAATTTACTTTGCTTTAAGATGAAGCTATGCATCCATTAAATCTTTTGGCTCATACAAACCATAATCCAGTTAACTGTGCACATTCATTGGTACTTCTTTACCTGTGTTCACTCCTCCAGTTATAATCCAGGCTCCCGTTGTTACTGCAGCTTTAATAAGACCTTTGCCAAGCAACTGTTTGATGCGTGGGTGAAGTTCAAATTTCTGCATGCCCCCATGTACAGATATAACAAGCTTCGGCAGCTCCATCTGCCATTCTTTAAGCATAAGTTGCAGAATAGCTTCAGGCTTAGTGTCATATGACAATCGCACATACTGCAGGTACAAGAAGAAAGTGAAAATGTTCTTAAAAGAAATGATCACAGAATCAATGAGCAAAAGGAAGCACCAGGATGTGTTTCAGGACATATTATCCTATTCCTGGCTACGGAAAATGTAATTCACTTTCTCAAAACACGGCAGATACAATAAATGAACAAGCTTACTTTATGTCCTCCAGAATTAAGAACCAGACAGTTAACAGTTTTGAAAGCAAGTTTTGGAAAGGGAAAGACTATAGAAAGATTATGTTATTCCATCCTACTGGCACAATGACCTAGAAAAATGAGTCTTTATGAAAGCATTGTACGATCTCTAAATTAGACAAAATTCAGAAGTATTTATAAAAGTTCTGCCATCTACTGGGGACAGGCTTGCATGTCTCTTGTGAAGAGTGTTCCAGAAAGACAGTTGCTTGCTTCTCCTTCCCTGTTCCTGGTGGGAAGGAAAGATCAATAGAAAACTACCAGCTTTTTAATTTGCTGTGGTTAACAGCATAAGATTAAGTAAACGGTTGATCAGTTAAAAATACTGATGCATCTTTAATACAAGCTATTCAACAGAGGAGGGGACACTACGCAGAAATTAAGCTCCACTTGAATCAAGTTCTAACTAAGAAGACATCACTATTCCAACAAACTGATTTTAGCAACCCCACTAACTCTCTGCAGAAGCAAGAACAGAAATGAGTACAGGCAGCTTGCTATTTCTATAGTCCTAGAAAAGGATTCACAGCAATTTTAAGTGATACTAAGCGTACAAAGGACCACACACATTGCTATTAACAACATGAAAGATTTCTGTAAAGAGCCCCACAAGAGATGATCTGACATAGAGCACTGGACTCTCCTTGGGGGCTTGCTGGCTGCATAAAGAACACAGCTCCCTCATTCAAGCACTTCAGTTTGGCCATAGGAGCCACACTGTATCAGAACTCCTTGCAGTGTATAACTGCATATTAAATAATTTCTACCACAGTTGGAAATTTTGAACAATCTACTAAAGAAGCCTGTTCCACATCTATCCATAATTTTATCTGATTTTTCAGAGTTTGAAAATTACCAGTAGAGGGTTAAGATAGCAGATGTTACTTAACCAGTCCTATAAAAATTTAACAGTAGTAAGTAAGCAAGCAGCACAAATGAGTAAGCTGTATGTTTATGAAGTCTGAAACAGTGACACTGAATTCTTAATGGAATATTTTGCTGAAGTGGTTACAAATTCTTATCCCCATCTGCAATTCGAAGGTAAGCCTGTACATGAATACAATGAATTCTGATAGATCTGAGCAACTTTTGTTAAGAAAAATAAATTAATTTAAAAATACTACAATAGTAGAGGGCACTGGGTTGTCACAATATGGGTGACATTGTTTTCAGCCTTCAATTTCGGACGTTAAATGAAGCATCCACCATCTCTACCAACATGTTTAAAGTAAGAAAAAAAGAAAATGTCATACATGCCTTAGCCCTGTAAGAATGAGAGCCACCTTGAAAGTTGATGACACCATAAGCATCGGTAGATGTCTGTTCTGTATGTTTTTCCACTGACCATTCTTCTATTTCCTGATTACAGTTTTCACCCAGCTTCACATCGGAGTATTTCATAGCAAGGCTTGCAGTAAAACAAGCATGTTGTCTGACCAAGCGGCCACAACAGCACCTGCACCCAACCATATAATTTAGAAAACTTGAGTAAATACTATTATTAGAACACAAGAGAGATACATCAGATTTAGAAAGCAAATATTATAAACATTATATAAACCTCTCCTCTAGAGCAAGCTTTGTTGCCATAAATATTTATAGCAAGAATTAATTACTATATATAATTATTACGCAAGTTATTGAAGCTCACTGAGAAAGCAAGTTTAAGGTCCAAAGAAACAGATTCTTTGAAGCCAAATAATTTATATAACATTTAGAAATTTGTGATCTAGGTATTGCAGGCAGTTCTTTATTAATTAGTTATATTTGTTTTATATCTAACCTTTCACCGGCTCGTCATTTGCAATACTCATGAAAACTTTTTAAAACCCTATTATGAAAGCGCTTATTTAATGGAAAAATATATTAATAAATATTGTAATTGTAATGACAAAGAACTCTTACCTGACAAGTTGCTGACAAATCTGACATCCTGGAAGGCATCTATAAGAAATATTTAAAGATATGAGTAAACTTCAGCTTCATTTTTAAGGGGGGCAGGGGGAATGACACACGGACAGACGATCCGACCACCCACACCACTTACAGAAGGATTACTGAACAAAAGAGAAGGGCAGCATGTTTCCCATTTACTGGACAGTTTGCTCGTTTTTAACATGGGAACTTGTCTGTCTGTATTTTACAAGACAGTAGTATACTTGGCAAGTAAAAACGGATCAACACGCAAAAGCTTCAGTCTTGAGACTTCAGGTTTTCAGGCTTTGAACCATCAATATCTGAAGCCCAGGAATATTTTAGACTGGATTATCTCCAGTACGCAAACTGAAACGTTTTGCTAGATGCTGAGAAGTTACTTAGAGCCCAGTATTTTCTTGAACTCACTCTAACAATACATTGTTGCATCTATTCTACCAATTCATCCTTCTAATATACATCCAAGTTGAACTGCCTGGGAACGTTATTTGATCATTTCTGAGTTGCATATACAGAAAAAGATTTATTTGAACAAACCTTATACAGTGGTGTCTTTACATAAAGTTCTTATATAAAAAAATTCCTCATTTCTACCCTCTTCCATCTTAAACATTTTCTGTTTTCCTGCTAGCAGCTTTCTTAACATCTAAAATTAGCACAGCAGATAAATTTATACAACTGTTCTCCATAATTTTCATAAGCAGCTGTTAACCAATTATGGTTAAGAGCTAGTATGCAAAGGCATATAAACACAGATGTCATACAGTAGGATCGAACCGCTTTCAGACTTTGAGCATAAGCAATTTTTTAATTTTGTTCTCTGTAGAAGGTACACTGCTATTAGTCATCTACATTTTTAATACTGAACTATACCTTTAGATCTTCTCTTACAGTTATTAAGTTATAATTATCTATACTAAAAGGTACATGTACAAAACATACCAAATACTCCTACTACATTTGATTAATTTATACATAATTCACAAAAAATGGGAGGCAATTCTTAGAAATAGAAGGACAAAATCTGTTGGGAAAGTTGTAAAGTCCATTGTATGCTACAAATGGGTTAAACTAAAAGGGCAAGCATGGGAGATCATTTTGTTCCTTCTGAAATGCTCTGGAAGTTTTAACAGCTTCCTCATTACTTTGTTTGCATTTGCAAATTTTCCATGTTTTACAATGATGGCTATAAATTCTAAAAGCTTCTCATGTCACATGGTTTCAAGGAATGGGGTGAATTATTTACAATAACTTAAAAATTCTACAGCATTTATTTGTTCTTTTTCCACCAAAAACCAAAGTTCTAAGAAGAAAAATAATATTCTGCCCCAACAGAACAAGAGAGATAACTTTTTTTTTTTACAGAAAAGACTGAAATACATGTTTTCTGAAGTTCAAAAGAAAAGGTTTCTCAGCTGCTCTCAAATATATGAAGCGAAAATTTAAAAAGCTGATCTGAAATCCATAATTACAATAGTAAACATTTTAGGGAAACAAAACTGCCTTAAAATACTGTCAATTAAACTTCCTTAAACTGTGAAGTTTGAATCTCTTTTCAATTTTACTTTCTTTAATCTGTGACAGAGATGTTATGACTATGCACATCAAATCCAATCATGGCAGGAAATCTTACATTATACCTATAACATTCAGTGAAAGTAAACTCTGCCAATTAGAAATGTTAGAGGTACCTCTAACTTGCTTGATTTCATGTCTCTAATTTAGCATGAGGTAAATGCAGCACATGAGATATCCAAAATATTCTTCATTAGTCTCAGCCTCCCCTCTAGAAACAAATTCCCCATTTTTCAGCCTCATTTCTTCCTCACAGAACTTAAGGATGAAAAATTACTAAATACCACGTGAAATCTTTTGATATGTGAACTGTTCTTACCTATCTTCCCTGGAAGCAAATATTTCTTCAGCCTTTGTTTTGTAATTTTTCTTCTCCTACCATGATTCTTGCTGTTCTTTATTCTTTTATGAATTCTTCATCCCTTATCCCTGCACCATCAGGTTTATTTTTACACTTCACCCTACACTCACACTGCTCTTTAAATTCCAATAGAGGATACCTCTACGAGACTTTCTGACTTCAGAACTATGCTACAAAAAAAAAAAAAAACAAAAAAAAAAACACCAAACCCAAAACCTCCACACTGTAGACACCCCATCACTAGGAAGACTAGTAAGAAGCATCAAAGAGAACATGGGAACATTTATTAGAGATTTCTGCAATGTCAAAGTACCTTCAGAAACAGGAAAAAATCCAAGCTAGACATAGAGTGACAAATGCCCAGTCACAAAAGAGTGAACTAAAGACAGTTTTTTATACAGATAGAATAGATAACCCAAAAATCTATTACATGCTCTTTACAGTACTGATTTTTTCTAATTTTAAAGAGAAGCAATGAGTTCTTGCATCATTTCTCGTTTACCTGTGGGGGTCTTTCGAACTTGGTATAATATACACACACTCCCTCTTGGTGAAAGTATTTTCTATCCAGGATTTCTGGGACTGAAAAATAAAAAAGTGTAACAGTATTATAAAATACAAATCATTTAGCTTTGCAATGAAAAAATGCTTTTTAAGGAAACAAGAATTAGAACCTGAGGTGTCCAACATAAAGAAGTTAAATTGTCATTTAGTGTTTTGCTGTCGCTCAAAAACTAACAAAGCCATATATGACCCTAAAAAAGCATCTCACACTGCCTAGAAGTACCTGAATCACTGTATACACAAATTCCTTACAATACAAAGCAATATTTTTCAAAGCTAACACTTAAATAGCAAAAATTTGCAATATGCAAATAAAGCTGTACCAAAACCCCCAATTTCAAAATATGTTTACCTACCTTGTTAAGAAAAAAAAAAATAGTTAAAATCTTCAAAAATTAACTGCACTACACTGAGATTACTGTAATTTCATCTATTTACCACTTTAAAAAAGTAAAATTTTCATCTTGAAATTGCGGGTAAGGGAGTTTTCTAACAACACTGGCAATCCCTTCTAGTAGCAATAAATAGGTCATAACCTTTGTTCTTCATCAAGCAACTTCTCATTTCAATAAACAAATTTAATTAGCATCTCTAAGCTGTGTTTTAAGCTTAAACTTGAAACATGTTTCGAAAAATGAAACGAAGGATGTTTATTTCTTCAAATGCTTACCTGTTGTAATTGCTGGACGTAATTTCATTTCAGTTGCTTTAAACAACCATGTTACCTTATCTTACATGATAATCTCAGGATTAGATGCTAAACAACATGCACAATGCCCAATGCCTACATTGTATTTCAGCAATACATTGGGAAAGGAACTCAGACATTACTTTAGTAATTAGAAAAAAATCTTTGGATGCCAATTTGCACCTTATGCAATATTGCTTTAAATCCTTATTAAGATTACATTAACATTTCTTCAGTGCTAACACCATGCCCTGTTCTATATTTACATTTTATCTTTTGAAAAATTTGAGAAATTTCATACCTGTTCTATTTTACAATGAAGGGGGAAAAAAAGACTGCACAGGTATTTAACTATAGAGGTCTGTAGAAGATATGAAGAAATTTAGATTTTTTTCTTTTTCAGATCTATTTTAACAGACAATTCAGAGAAGACAAATGGTTTTTCCACTCATCACAATTTCTAGACAAGTTTAAGATAATACAGAGAAATTATTACAAGAAAGAATGTACCAGCTAGTGTTAATATAGGCTGCTGGAAAACTGCTCAACTGCCCACCCTCTTTCAAAATGTTTCCCAGACTCAGCAGATCTTCCCCACATTATTCATCAATATCTCCTTCCAATATTTTGTTTTAGTGAATTTTGACTATGAATCTGTCAAGACAGCAACAAACAGCTGCTCCAGGTTCTGTCTTTGCATTAAGAGGGCCACCAGTCTCTTCCAATGAGGATGGAAAGTTGCAGGGTACAGGCACTTCCCAAGAGAAAAAGAAGGGCAGGAGAAAGGTAGATGCACAATCCCCAGAGAAGAATCATGGCAGGGAAGAGGAGCTGTTAGCAACAGAATAAGCACTCACAGCCCATATTTTACTTCTAAATTAATATTTTAAACACCTGGAATAAAAGCTGAAGCAATTATTCGCTACTCTCCTACCTCCTTTCCCTATACATAGGAAAGCATGCTGTTGCAAAGAAAGTCTAGTGAGGGAAAAGCAGGATATTAGACATTATATGCAAACACGGTGTTATGAAGGCTTTTATTACATTTATCTTGCTTTTCCCTCTTTTCTTTTTTTCCCCTCCTTCTTTGGATCAGAAGGTCAAAGTGACTGAGTCTTAACAGGCTTGTGAAAGAGAAGATCTCTTCCTCTGCTGTCCTCAAAATTCATCTCTAATCTTTCAGTAGCTTTCTCCTCAGTTCTTGGATAAAAGAGAAGCACATCACCTTCCACGAAGGATCTGGGTATTTCCTGTGGCTTACACGGGCTGGGCTCAAAACAGCTTTATCACTTCTCTACCTTTATCAGAAGATTAGCAGTGTCTGTGTATATGTACATTTATATAAGTATATCCATACTATCTGTAAAAATATGCACAGTAGGTAGCCCAAATTTTTAGCTTCTTCCTCTCACAGTATTTTTACTATTAAGCCTTAGCCTTTGTGATACGAATCCCAGTTCTGGGCTGCTTTCTGCTCAGCTGAGTGTCCCCACTGTTTATATGGGTATGTACTTCTGTACTTCATTTTTTAAAACTGAGGTTTTGTACAGATCATTCCTTTAACATGTCAGTAGCTTAAGCTTACATATGAGCTCTGCAGATCCTCCAGGAAACAAAAAGATAAAGAAGAGTAATTTAATACTCAGACGTTTAAGTCAGCTGGCTAAAACCACACCTTGAAGCAAGCTATCACAGGCATAACATGCTAGATACTGAAATCTGAAGTATATAAACCACAATTAATTGCGTCAATTGCTCCGTGCAATATTGTTTCGTTATTAAGCAGTGATCAAAGCTGGGGACAGGGAACACTGGCTCACAATGCACAACACCATTTTTTATAACAAATGGTTCTAAAAATTTAAAAAAAAAAGATTAATTTTTATCTTAAAGAATGAACAGTTTTAAACGACTCAGCAAGGATTTCGCTCTGGTTTTTAGTAGAGAAAGTATCTTCAGTACAGCATGGGTACATCTATGCTGTTTACATGGGGGAGGCTCTATAGTGTTATTAAAACACACTTAGAACTTTTCATTTGGTAAAATTAGAATCTCTCCAGAAGCACCCCTGTATGCCGATCAATCTTTATAGCAAGAGATTTTATACAGAACTTGCTCATTACAGAGTCTTGTTTTCAGTTGAGGGGGAGCAAAGCAAATAGAGAGTGGAGTAAGCGAGAGACATTTCCCATAAACAGGCAAAGATCACATTAAAATGCAGGAAGAACTGACACATGGTATTGCGTTCCCCTATGTAAGAACTATTATTACATAATCTTCCTGAGATGACCAGAAAAAGGAAGATGTGAGGACGCTGTTAAGATAAATTAATTGCAGCAATTACCGCCAAGAAATACTTCCTTATCAGCTAAAGATTACGTTAAAACAGGAGATGAAGTCAGTAGTCAAAAATCAATATGCAAGTTAGACTTTTTGAAAGATCGCCTCCTCTTATTAAAGCTTTTTAATCATCTCTACAGCATTCTCAACTACACCGCTTAAACTCTGCTTTCAGTAACGGGGCCGCTTCTGGCGATCAGAGTGACCTGTTTTGCTAGCGTATTTTTGAAGGCGTATCTTACGTGATGGCTACAGGCAACACAGGTCAGGAGCTCTCAAATACAGTGAGCTCTGTAGTGCTCAGAGAAAGGGAAGAAAAAAGGGGGGGAAAGGAACTATGAACCCTCCTCCAAAAACATATGGTCAGATTTTAGCAAAAAACTACTTTTAAACTCTTCATTTTCTTTCCTTTCAAACTTGGATCTTGAGGAAAAAAAAAAAACAAAAAAACAAAAAAAACTTAGCCTTACAGATTTTCTCCCATGCATTTCAAATCTCTCAAGCTAAATATAATTTAAGACTTACAAGAAAAATGCTAATACAATTAATACTACTGCAGAACTACCTTCACTATCTTTTCCTACAGGTGAGATATCTATGAAAATTTTACCATGTTAAAGACCTCTTAGCAATCAACATTGGCAAGATCTCACCTGCATGCCAAAACACCCTTAACTTTTACTTTTTGAAAGAGGTACTACAGTAACTCCTAAGTCCTAGTCCCAAAGTGGCCAACAAGGCTTTTGCTCAGTCCTGAGGCCGTAGAGGGTTATGCAAGATAGCTCACTCTGGTTGCACTGATTTCTGAACAGACAACGAAGTTCACTGTGTCTTTCAGTACTTCTGAAAGAACTTAAAGTAACAAAAAGGACATAGATTTGCTTCAATAAGCTAGAAGAGATATACTCGTCCTGGAATCATGATTGAAGGAAATACTTTAAACCATCTCCAATAAATAAATCCTTTCAGAACAGTTTCACAGTGCTTAAATAATTATAACTACCATTTGAAACAACACTTACACAAGTATTTGTTGAATTACAAACCCAAGAGAATGTGCTGGACTACAGTACCTCCAACTTCTGGAAGTATCTAAATGCCAAAATAATCCCACAACTTTTTACGACAGGTGGAAGTTTTACCATAGCCATTTTAGTATTAGTTCTTTTTGATTCAGCCATAGCATTAGCACTCCAAAGCATAAATAATAGAAATCATTTAAGTGTACCTGCTCAAGATGCAATGAATTCTTTACGTTACCTTGACTGAAATTTATGATGGGTACTTTTAGCAAGCCTCCTTGTAGAATTAAACTTTTAACACAAAGTTAACTACTATTTAGGGTTTTTTATATAGCAGGTTACAAACAAAAAGAAGCAGTCACCAAAGCACAGTATGAGATCAGGTCTCAGAAACCACCTACCACTCTCCCCCCTACTTAAGTGTTTATAAAGAGCCTCTTATTCAACATATTATCATAATAAGATAATTAAGTTCTATCAGAGCTGCAATTGACAGACAACAGCACAACAGAGCCACACCAAACTATCATGAATTTCTCCAAGTTTATCCAACAAGTTCAGTCTGATTTATCTTCTGTATTTCCTATAAGAGTTTTCCTATTTGGCAAGATCCCAAAATAACTTGTGTGACTTTCAATGAACACAGATGTGGCAGGTATAAATATGCTTTATAGCTGACAATCAGGAACTTGTTCATGTACAAAAGGATCTCAGTTTATTCCTTCTACTCACTTGTAACACTGTATACTGCTGGAGGCTCATAAGTTATAGAGTATTTGTTACAAAACCAAACATTAACTTATCTTTAATACATTGCTCTCAAACCTGCACCACTGCATACCAACCTAGCAGTTCTGCTGACAATTTTTTTACAAAGCTAACTAGCTGAATCAGGAAACTAACTCAGATTAAAAAATAATATTCCAAACTGTGACTTTTCTGAAAGGCTGATAGTAGAGATTT